CAGTTTTGTTTGTGTATTTTTTTACAATTTCTTTATAAAATAATTCTCACAATTTTGTATAAAAATATATAATTTTTTTTTTTTTTTTACAAAATATCAAATTAAATCACTATTTAAACTCAAGTTAAAATCAGAAACAATGCAAAAAAACAAGTTCTTTCAGGTTTAATTTAATTTTTTGTCTTGATTTCTTATTTGAATAGTGATTTAGATGTGCTATTTATCGGGATGAAATAATTTATTTTATCTAAAGTTACGGATGATTGCATGCTAAATAAATTTAAAACCAAACTAAAATAACACATAAGCTTTGTTTCTAACTAAATTGGCTCTATATTTTTTATTTTATATGTTTAAATAAATATATATATATATATTGAAGTGATGGGTAGTATTATTTTTTAATATTTTTTTGGTAAAAAGATCTTATAAAAAATATTAAAATGAACAAAGTGTAATATTTTGAATATATTTAATTAATTTATATCAAACCGTGTTATATCTTTTTAAAGAAATTCAATTAGTTAGCGTATAATTCACAAATATGTGATAAGACACTTTATAAGAGCTATTTGTCACTGAAAATATTTTCATAATTTACATTTTACCACTATCAATTCGTGATGTTATTCTACCATAAAATAAATATCGTATAGTAGATATATATGTATATAATATATATGGTTACGTCCAACGTGAAAGTTTTTTTCATTTCTTTTTAAAAAAAAAAATTGTGCGGGTCACATCGGATGTGTTCTTTTTGTCAAAAACGAACTAATACTATCTATGTCCGGCGCTAAGGGTCTTATTTGTTTTTTACTTGTTGATATATGAATATTAATTATTATATAAAAACGTAATACAAATTAAGAAAAAATTGCAAAAATATTTTTACTTAGTGTCTTATAATGCTAATGGAAAGATATTTGTAAAAAAATTATACAAATATAAAAGATATTTTGTGTCACATAGATATTGAGGACTAAATTGCGAAAAATTTTCACTTACGAAACTATTTCAAGACAACCTTCAATTACTAGTTATGAACTAAAAAATCAGTTTACCCATTGCTCTTCTTGAAAATTTGAGTTTGTTATTGTTTGCTTCTTGAAAATCTCTGAGTTACATAATATTACAAATATATATTATGTTTTTCTCATTCAGGACTTCAAGATTGAAAAAAGTATTTTTCAATTTCATTGAATGTCATTTTTTTTTTTGCAGCGTCCTGGTTCATAGCACATATTTTTTAAGCATAAGACTAAATCTTTCATGGCTGGTGGATTCATAGGGATGTATAGTTGTTGATATTTTTGTATCCATATACAATATACCTCAAATAAACTGTACATGACGAAGAAAATGGTTCTTATTATTACTATTAGTTTCTTTTTAATATATATTTCAACTACAAAGTATTATTGTTTTACTTGCAAAATTGTTTATTCTTCTAGTTGTATATGTTTCATTAACTAGATTATCAGATAATCTTTAAGTTCTTCTATTTTTACTATCGATCGAGGAATTAACTTGAGACATCATGGCTAAAAGAAAGCTAGGTAACCTTCATACCTCTTGATCTTGCCAAGTGGCGCATACAAGTCCCCGTTTTCTAAAATTTCTTAGCTCATATCATCTATTCTACATGTATAGTTCTAGAAATAAATAAATAAATAAATGAATTTTTTATTTCCCTCCACCCCACTCCTTATTTCTAATGTTTAATTTCATGATTATAACAATATATTTAATTTTAGCTATAGAAATCTGCCAACTCAATAAATTTTATTTTTTTTTTTTTCATTTGCATATTCAAGTTTAACTTATATATATATTATATATATATATATAATCTGAGGCTTATATTTGTTTCATTGGGCATAAGATACTCGAGATGAGAGTTGCAAAGGCAGAGACTACTATGACTATGTAAAATCAATTTGTTGTCCTGCAAAATAGCAACAAGACTTCTTTCTTCAAATTATTATTTTTTTTTAAAAAAAAAAAAGCAATTTATTAGGTCTCTTTGGTTTTTATGTAAAACTTCTATATTCTCCTACATGTTTATCTCCACTATATATTCAATTTTGGGCTGAATTTGATTCGTCATATATCTTATTTTGATGATATAAATTAATAATTATATTTACAGAAGTATATGTTGAGGAACAATGAAACTTATATCATATCTTAACTAAGGGCATTCCAAGTCCAATATATGTTTGTTTAGAAGCTTCAAGGACCATTATTTATATGCTCGGCAGTTCGGTAACGGTGCCTGTCTCCTCATACTTGTCGGGATATAACACAATAGTTCTTGGAAAGATTTGATTAAATTTTTATATGAAAATAAGGGTAAACTGATGTTTCATTTTCGTAACTGGACTATTTTATCATTTTAGTTATTTGAAGCATGTCGCAAACTAGTCACGTAAGTGGAAAATTTTCGCAATTTTAGTTATCTGGTGCCGGAGATGCCTACTTGGCACCCGTATGGCTCGCCGGAGGACATGTGCTTGCAAGATCAGCGAGACTTGGCGGACACGAGTTTTTTTTTAAAAAAAAAATTAATTCTAACTTTCAATTTTTTTTTGAAAATGTTTATTTTTTAAAAAAAAAATTGAAAAAAAAAAAAAAAATTAATTTTTTTAAAGTCATCCACGTCAGTGAAATCTGGCATACATGCGTCATCTGGCAAGCCACGCGAGTGTCACGTAGGCATCTCCGACGTCAGAGGACTAAAATTGCGAAAAAATTTCACTTACAGAACTAATTTGCAATATCAATTATAAATAAGTTCAATTACAGGATAAAAAACATCAAATTTACGTTTAATGAGATATTTTGTCAAAAAAAAAATATTTTTTTCAAAAAATACAAAATCTAAATAGGCTCACCCTACCATTAAAATAATAATAAAATAAAAAATAAAATAAAATAAAATAGGAGGAGAGTAAAGATTTTAAGCTGTTATTGTTTATTATATAGTATATTTTTTAAGTTATTCATCTTTAATTTTACAAATATAATTTTTTATTATATAAAAAATTTATTTATATTTATTTTAAATTATAATATTATATTACTATAATAAATAATAAATATATTTTTTATTATTTTTATATAATATATGTACTAATGGGTAAACAGGTGACTGTTAAATAATATTCTATCCTTTTTATCAAATTTACGTTATTATTTTTTAAAATTTTTTTATTAAATTTATATATTTATAATAAATAATTTTATTTATTTATAATTTTATTATATTTACTTAGCGAATAATAATTAATTATTTTTTATTTTTTATATTTATTTCATTAGTTTTTTATCAATTATTTAATCGATTTGTCACTATTATTTTTTATTTATCTCATCGTCATTTTATCCATCACAATAAATGTTAATACAATATATAAAATAAATATTATATAATTGCACGTAGCACTACATATGCTGATTTCAATATGAAATATAATTCACATAATAAATATTTCTATATAACGCTAACATGTGATATTTACTTTGTAATAATTTGCTAAATGTTTCAAATTAATGTCTTTCCTTGTAATATGCTTTATGTATTTTGTAACAAAAACATGGTGTGTGTTTTTTTAGCACAAATTTCTTAAGATTTATTATTTAGAATTTGTATTTTTCAATTAGATGGTCATAATATAAAAATAATTAAATTAACATAATTAAATTTAATAAGTAATTAAATTAAATTTTAAATTAAATAAATAAAAATAAATTATCCTAAAAGTTATTGATTTATTAGATAATAAAATAGATCAAATTAAAATATAATTATATAATAAAAAAATAGAAAATTAAAATATCAATATGTAATATAAAAATTATATTATTATTATCTATATAATTATTTTTTATTTTTTATTTTTATAACCATTTATAATATATAGTAACTTTAATTTTTTATATATTATTATTATAAAATACAATACAAATCTATAATAGTAACGCATTACCGCACCAGATGGGCAAGCCTTAAGTCTACAGGCTACCTAAACTTGCATAAACGGTTCAAATCGCCGATTATGGTCTGTCAAAATATCAAATCGAAACGGGACATTTCGAATGACGATTTCAATTACGGTTTGACGATTTCAATTACGGTTTATAAATCGTCGGTTTCGGTTTGAACCGCCAATTTATATATGTTCATTTTTAATATTTTTATTATTTTCTATTTTTTTAAATTTATAGTTTATTAAAAATAACATATTACTTATATTCAGATATATTTATTATTTATTTATTATGTAAAAATCGTATACTCTATATAAATAATTAATTAAATTGTTACACTATAAAAATAATATAAACAATAATTTAGTAAATAATTAAATTTAATTTTAAACTTAAAAATAAATAAAAGTAAATTATAAAAATATTGACATAATAAAAATAATAAGATAATTTAAATTAAATATAATTATTATAAAAAAAATTATAAAATTTAAAATATCAATAAAAAATAAAATTATAATATTATTAATTTTCAATTTCATTAATAATTATTTATATGTATTAACATTAATATTATTTTTATTTTTATAAAAATTTAATAATATATATAAAAAAAATTAATCATAAATATATTATTATTATTATAAAATATACATACATTTACACATATAGATCCACAGCCGCCGCAGCCGTGCACCAGGTTTTCCTTTTTCGTTTATTCGATCCTCTTTCTTTTCTCATTTCCTCCTTCTGCGCCTGCCTGCGAGTGAGGGATTTAAAAACAAAATACAAAAAATTCCAAACCGCCGGTTCTAACAGCCAACCGGCGGTTTACGGTTTGGGGTTGTACCCTATTTCGGTTTGAACCGCGGTTCGAAACGGAATAGGCAACTCTAAGTCTACCTAGGATATATAATATTTTTAATTAAATTTTAATAATGTAGAAATCTTTTCTACTCCTCCACGTGGAATGGAAAGAGATACATAAAGAACCGTTCTTCCTTCTTTGTACCGGAACAGTTCTTCAAATAGAAGTAGAGATTTTTGGAAATGGTTTGTTTTTGTATTCTGAATTTGGAGAATACATTCCATATTTCTCCTTGATCTAAGAATCTGGACTCGATTCAGGGTTTATACATTTTGCAATCTACTTAAAGAAGGTTGTTGGTTGTGTTCTGCTGCTCATTTCGCCAGGTTGTTTTTGTTTCCTTTATTATTTTGATTCTTGAAATCTTAAGTGATCTTAGAATATATTTTGAGCTTAATTTCTCAAGATATGCTTCAGAATAGTGTTTTTTTTATTGAAACAGAAGTATTATTTGATGGTATTTATATTTTCACTGTTGTCTCTCTTTCTTGCTGTAATATTACAGCGTTATTACAAATGGGTAGAGAGGTTATAGATGTTGCTGCCTGCCTTCTGATATTTTTAATAAAAATCAGTTCGGATTTGATTTTCTTTGATATTAATGTGTCTGTGCTGATTCTTGTCCCACTTTCCAAATTTCTCATGATTTATTTGTTTGTTGTAGGTATTAGCGCCGCAACCATTTTAGGTTTTCTTCAGGTCTCTGCATTGCTTGTACGTTGTTAAAATTTCCGCCGTTTTGTCCATTGATTTGATTGGTTGTTCTTAAGGTAGTATGGTTGGTCTACTCTAATTTTTTTTTTTGTTTCTTGCAAGAGATTTATGGTGATTGATGATATACATTTTCTTCACATGGTTCTACTTTTATAGGTTGTGGTTTTCATTGTCTGCGACGGAATTATTGAAAGACGACTCAATGAGATGTCCATCTGAAACACGTTGTTCCGAGTGGGCAATAAAATACTTAGGATTATGCATTTGCAACACAAGAGATGTGTTAGTATATGCTCTAGGATTTATTAGTGTAATTTGTTGGAGTGTAGCGGAAATTCCCCAAGTTGTTACAAATTACAAGAAGAAATCTGCCGAGAGCCTCTCTTTTTGGTTTCTTCTGACATGGATAGTAGGGTAATGAGCATATCCAATCATGCTTTTGTGATACATGTTGGTTTATTTTCAATATAACTTTATTTAGTATTTAAATTTTACTTTTATCAGATTACTAGATAGAAATATCTAGAATGTAGATATTATAGTGATTACTTCTATGTATAAGCCTTTTTCTCTGGTAGTTAATTGCATTTTACTGAATTGTTTCTTTCTCTTTGATTTCTTATGCAGAGATCTTTTCAATCTTTTTGGCTGCTTGTTAGAACCCGCAACTGTAAGTGTTCTATGTTGAGATAATAGTATGCTTTTCCAAATGATATCAATTTTAATTTAATGCACTAGGGGTACCTTTATCCAATCTATAAGTCCTTTGTTTAGTCAGATGCCAACAGAAGACTCGGTTTTCTTTTTCTTTTTCTTTTTCATTGGATGTTGTCATTAATTTAATTCCGAGTTACCAATGAGTAAGAAATTGAATATATTTGTCTTGTGGGGTTTCAGTTTACAGAATTACATTATTTCGGGATACAGAAAACTCAAATACCTTTGAACGGTTTGCTTTTGTAGTAAACATTTTGATGTGCTAACTCATGTTTCATTTTGCAGCTTTCAACACAATACTATATGGCATTGGTATGAATGTCCTATCAACTTTGGTTTATTGATTTTTGTTATTCACTTTATGAACATTTAATTTGTCATTGCTTGCAGTTATATACAATTACTACCGTGACTCTTGCTGCACAAGTTGTATACTATGAACACATTTATCCACGATTCAAGTCCAAGAAAAAGCATCAAGAGGTTTAAACTATAATATTTTAATTATATGCTCATTTTTTTTTTTGTTAATTAGATAGATTTTTACATTTCTGCATTCTCTAATGAATTTGGAATCCGTATGATTAAAACATGTTCTATGTGACAGTTAGATTCTACATACATTGAAGTTTGAACTAGAGGAATCATATACTGATTCTTTAAATTAAAAACTTAACTTAATAACTTTTCTTCTCATGATAGAATAATTGTAGATTGTGCATGCACTCTAGTAAACTCTCTTTTAAATAGAGTTGTTAAAGAATAAAATCGAATAGAATTTTAAGTGTTTGTGTTTTTCGTTAATGTTTGCGAACAAAATTCGTGTTCGTTCTTAAGCATTCGAGCTTGTTTGGATATGTATAATATTTATTTTATTTTTTAATTCATATATATATAATATTATATTATATTTATTTATTTTTATTACTGATTTCATATACATATAGATATATATATATTTTAGCGAACATTTGGGAATCAGGTTGGTGCTCGTACCTTAACAAAACGATTCTATTTATATTATTCAGCTCAACTCGTTTATGTTTGCAATCAAGCTCAAACCGAGCCAAATTCATAAACGGCTTGGTTCGTTCAACAGCTTACTTTTAAAATATAATTGTATCCATTTTAGTTTCATCTCTTGTACCGGAACAATTTCACATCATAAACGATCATTTCAAATGTTAATTTATGATATTTTGTCTTGTCATGAATTAAAAGCCAAAGGAAGTTGTGGAAAAGACAATAGAGACCAGTCATGGAGTTGATGTGCAAGATGACAATAATATAACGAGGAAGGCTGTTGTCCGAAGCTCACCTATTCCTTTCCCAGCATGTTCTTCCGACCATAATGATCTATATTTCATGTCAGCAATCCTCACTTTTACTCCTAAATTGCATATTATGTTGTTTGATGTATGTTAATCCAAAATGGCTATTGTACTCTAGTGGAACTCTACTTTATTATAAATTATGTAATTCAATTTGATTTTAACATGTATAGGTGTCACTTGTTACCACTCCATCACATAGAATTATACACCAGGACCATCTTTTCTTTCCATGCAACTAGATCTTTTTGTTACGAAGGAGCCATGATTGATATGTGAATTGTTGATGTTTTTATGACACAATGATATAAATCTATAGGTCTCATGGAATCTATTTCTTTTTTCTTTCTCAAAAGTCATTGTTTTATGACATTGTCGTGTGTTTTTCAGGTCTGCAAGATCTCTTTCAGTAAGTCGTACGCCTACCCTCGGGTCTTTCCCAGCTTCAAAAACTCCTACTGGCGATGGTGAGAATAATTTGTGTAAAGAACCATTGCTTGAAAATACTCGGCCAACACAATCTGCTCCTTCAAATATAAAGACTACTCTCTGCGTGGTGAGTACCTTATAATATCTATTAAGCCTAGTTCAAATTGGAATTTAGAAAGAGCTTTTAATGTTTTCACCTCTCCTTAACATTCTTGTACTCCAGGTTTCTTTGATGACATTTTTCCTTGGCGGTTGTGACTACAAAGTAGCAACAAGTAACAAAAATTACATGATCTCTAATGTTTCAACAAAAGGGGTTGTGTTGCAAGTGAGAAGAAAACTTCTAGAGGTGAAGTTTATTTAAGGCTTATGACAATTTTTTATTGTTACAATTTTAAACTCTACTATCTGATGCATTATATGTGTTTTCATTGTTAGCCTTCAAATTTGTTTAACTATACAATTGAAGCATGTTTGAATGTTTTCGTGACAAATACATTTTTCATTGCATTCATTCGTAAAATCACCTTGACGATCTTTTATATTGCAGAGGACTAGAACTTCAGCACATAAAGTTGTTACTGCAGAAAGCAGGGGGTTTGGATCAATCCTAGGTTGGGGAATGACAGTCATTTACTTGGGTGGACGTTTTCCTCAAATTCGCTTAAATGTAACTACCAAATTGAGGTTTTATACATTTTCCAATTAAAATTCAAAATAATCTACTTAAAAATAACTACTCTTACAGTAAAATTGTCCCTAGTTCCAAAGCAAAAACTATGCATTTGTTTTCATACACAAGATCTTTTTTTTTTTCTCTAGGTGGTTAATAAGACATTGAAAGATTTTGTTAAATCATATCGTACCATCAAGTATTTTTTACTTTGAACTTCTGAAAGCCTGATGTGTTTTGGTTTTGGTTTTCTACAGATTAAAAGAGGAAGTGCAGAAGTAAGCGTTGTTTACCTTTTTTTTTTTTATGTTAAGAAAAGATAATCATAGAAACATTGTTTCTTCAAAGTCTACTTCATGATCAATATTAAATGCAAAGAATTTGATATCTTTGACATGATAATCACTTTGCCATCTACAGGGGCTTAACCCACTAATGTTTGTTTTTGCTCTTTTGGGAAATCTTACTTATATGGGAAGGTGAGCAAACTTTCATTTGTCTCTGAGTTACATGACATTGTAGTGTATATTACGTTTGTTTTTCTCATCCAGGACTTCTAGATTGAAAAGAAGTAATTTTTAATTTCATTGAATGTCATTTTTTTGTACAGCATCTTGGTTCACAGTACAGATTTTTTAAACATAAGACCAAACCTTCCATGGCTTGTGGATGCATTGGGATGTATAGTTCTTGATACTTTTGTATCCTTTGAAGACTCTATACAGTCTACCTGAAATAAATTACCCATGACAAAGAAAATAGTTATTATTATTACGACTACATTCTTTTTAATATCTATCTCAACTTCAAAGCATTAATGTTTTACCTGCAAAATTATCTATTCTTTTATAGTCTTGTATTTTTCCTTAACTAGATTATCAGATACTTCTTCAGTTCTTCTATTTTTACTATCGATCGAGAAACTAACTTGAGACAGATCTTTGACTTCATGGCCAAAAGAAAGCTAGGTAACGTTCATACCTCTTGATCTTGCCAAGTGGTGCATACAAGTCTTTGTTTTCTAAACTCCCTCGACTTTTGTCATCTCTTCTACATGTATAGTTCTAGAAATAAATAAATAAAAAATAATTTTGTTATTACCCTGGACTCCACTCCTATGTTCTCATACACTTATAAAGATCTATAATTTTAGTTTTCTCTTACTTATATTCTCGACTAAAAGTAATTTATTTATTGCTTATTATGTTTGGTTCCATGTTTCTAATTTTTAATTTCATGATTATAACAGTACATTCAATTTTAGATATGGAAGCCTGTCAATTCAATAAACTTTAGCTTGTTTTTCATTTTCTTATCCAAGTTTAACTTATATATATATATATTATGAGGATTGTGTTTCTTTCAGTGGGCATAGGATACACAAGATTAGAGCTGCAATGGAAGAGACTACTACAACTACATAAGATCAACTTGCTGCCCTGCAGACAGCAACCAAGACTTCTTTCTTCAGATTTTAAAATTTCAATTTATTAGGCCTCTCTGGTTTTCATGCATAGGATACACAAGATGAGAGCTGCTATGGAAGAGACTACTATGAATACATAAGATCAATTTGCTGGCCTGTAGATAGCAACACCACTTCTTTCTTCTGATTTAAAAATTTTCAATTTATTAGGCCTCTCTAGTTTTCACATGCAAAACTCCTTAATTCTCATACATGTTCATCTCCACGACATGTTCAATTTTGGACTAAATTTTACCATTTATATCTGCATATATATTGATTGGTCATATATCATTTAATAATGAAGATTTTTAATTTTATTTTGATAAATATATGTTGAGGAAGAATAAAAATTATCCCATATCTTAACTAATGGTATTCTAAGTTTAATATATGTTGTTCAGAAGCTTCAAGGACTGGTATCTTTATGCTCGGCGGTTCGGTGCCTGTGCCCTCGTACTTGTCGGGACAGAATACAATATGTGCATTCCATCTGTTATCAAGTTCTAAATGATAGATCCGCTCTCCGGCCGCATAACCTCCAAGTAGTTGGTACGATCTCTCTGATCCATCCATTGCTATGCAGTGTTCTTCCGTGCCTGCGAAATTAGAGTGTTGGGTTTAGATAGAGGTTTCGAAAGTTTTGAAGTTTTAAAATTTTTTGACAATAGTAAAAAGTCGATGAATAGTGCCAATGTTTTTGAAAGTATACATATTAATAGTCATTGATTTTTTACATATCCTTCTTCACATTGGTCATACATGTCTCATAAAACTTTGGATTAACATTGGTCATACATGTCTCAAAAAAGTAACATTAGAGTTAATTGTATTCATTCAACTCCATGAATTTGATTCAGAGGAGTCTATGAATATGTGTAATACTTATATAGAACTAGAAGTCATTGGACTAAATTATAATCTTTAGACTGTAACCAGCCATGTAGGGATGAACCGAGCCGTGTGAGTTTAGGACAGCAATGATCATAGACCTCGTTTGGTTTGAGGGGTTTAGGTTAGATGTCTTTTAAACGATTTCATCATATTAATTCATTAGTTCCGTTTGACAATGATACTCATGTAACCAAATGACGGATTTTAAAATCAAATCCATCTAACAAGACGGAACCTTAAAGAAGATGATAGTATATAAAATAGAGGGAATGATTAAGTGTTTATGTTGATTAGCCCTAATCAACCCATTGTAATGGCCTCAAAAACACGTGTTATGTATATCGTTATTATGCGCTATTAGTTAATATTATGTATTATTGTGTTATGTTAATATACGATATGTTGAGGTCATGTTCTCTATAAACTATTTTCATATATTGTTATCATTTGTATGATGACATGCGTTATGTGTACTATTACCATATCTTGTTTTTCCGAATATTTTCGGTACATTAGCACCCTAAGCAGTTGAGTCATTGTGCTGAAAGTTTGAAAAAGGAAAGAAAAAGAGGTAACTAACTCACAGGCAGCTTGCTCTAATTGTGTATGGTAAATGAATTCCAAGATTGATGAAATCTCTTTCTCGAACCGATGAAATGGCCCTCCCTCGAAATTCATTTTTCTCAACTTACAAAGCCCTTCTCCCAGCTGCATCATTGCCCCCTTGTGATTCTGTCCATTCAATTCGACATTTTTAATTTTTTTTTCAATGTTCTTACAGCTGATATCGATCACTTGGGAGTTTCCATGATGTACTAAACTAGCTTACCTGATTAAAGAGGTGGTGCAAGCCAACTGCAACTTGCAGGATGGCGTGAACAAGGGTGCGCGTTGGCTCCGGGGACTTGTTCCATAGAGCTTCAAGAACATCATGGCATTTGTAGTATTCCCTCATGTTGAAAAGCATAACAGCTTCATCGAAGCTGCAACTTTCGTCATCTTCTTCTTCTTCTTCTTCTTCCTCGGACATGAACTGGCTGCTACCTCGTGTGGTTATTCGATATGAATTTGTTGAGAATTTGATGTGGTGATTGTCTGGATTGTGATTGTAGTTTTGGGATTGAATTCTTGAAATGGAAAATGGTAGAGCAGGAGTAGAGATTGTAATGGAGAAGAAAGGTGTTGGAGATGGAGAAAGAAGTGAAAGAACAGTAGCCATTGAGGAGAAATGTCAATGGTGAAATGGGTTTTTTTGTTTTGCATTGTACATATATGTGAAGGAGATTAAGGAGGTTTCTTCATTCACTCAATTAGGAAAATATCATCCTGTGGTTTTTGTCCCTCAAGTCTCCGTCAATACAAATTGCTTGTGTGTATAGTTGTGCTTGTGTTTTATTTATTTATTGTCTTGATGTATATATATATATATAAATATATATTTAATGAAGAAGATATTTTAAATAGAAAATAAATATTGTAAGTATATATGTATTATTTGTTCATAGTTATTATCATAAAACTAATTATGTATACATATATACTTGCAAACTAGAAGGTAGATCAATTGTAGCAAGTTTATTAAAAAATATAAATTTTGGTTTTGTATGTTAATGTGGTATAATTTATTTATATTTAATATATTACACAAAAATTAGTATTTTATTCAAAATATCATATTAAAAAAAATTATATCACATCAAATACTATTTAAAATCCAAATTTTTTTATTGTCTTCAAACTCTCGAACCAAATCCATATGCATCCAAAAATTCAAAACAAATCCTTTAAGTAGCACAGGTGAGTTTTACTCCATTGATATTGGAGAACCCTCTCTTCTCGTGTCCAAAATCCAAAAATTAAAACAAAACAAAACGAAAAAAAAAATCTAGAAATTTTCTTGGGCAAAGAAATACAAGACTTTTTATTTTTTAATTTTTTTTGTATATTTTTTATTTTTTTATTATGTGTCTTTTTATTTTTTGCACAATATATATTGATATATTTTTATTTAAATTAATTTTATAAAATAAATCATTTTTATGCGTATATATATGTGTATATATATATATATATATATTTTATTATTATTAGGGTGGATGAAAGAGATCACATGAATGTTCTTAGTAGCTGTGATGTTCTTATATATAAGCTCACAACTTTGGAATTTTGGAGAGCATTTACTATGGTTTATACAGCTCTCATGTTTATAATACAGAACAATGCATCCAACCAATTACAATTAAACTTGTTTGGTTGTATTTTTTTTATGTGATATAATTTTATGAGAAAAAATAATATATTTTTATTAAGAATCATACGAGATAAATAATACTGATTTCAATCTTTATTAGGAATAATATATTTTTATTGGGAATCCTGCGCAATGAATAATATAGCTCTCCGAAATGAAAAGTTCTCGTTGATTTTAAATCAACTCATCGCACATTAAAAGTCCAAACATCCTCAAAATAGCGCGCGGACACACATATATATATATATATATTTTTTGGTGTTTACAAAAAATAAACTCCGCATAATTTTGACATTTCGAGTACCCTTGTAGTATATCTTAAATTAAAAAAATTTGATGAATAGTGCAAAAATCAATTGGAACTACGAATTCGGATTCCATAGCTGTGTAGTTCCTCTCCATTCACTTTGAGCATTCAATAGTATTGGTTCAAGATGAGCTGAATGTCCAATGCAAACATACGAATACTTTCCGTACCATTCGTGCTCCGATCCCGGGCTGAATACATACACTTCTTTGAACCCATCTCGTCTCATCGTCACCGAATTCCTCCTACCCTACACTCACGTAAAAAGATCATTAATTCCTCGATCACAAAACATTTTTTTTATATATAAACAATATCGAGAAAATTGCAAGTTTAATCATATATTTATGATTAATTATCACTCTTGTTTTGTCTGTTTTTTTTTAATTGAGTTTTAATCCTCCACTTTACAAAAAATCTAACAAAAAAAGCAATTTTTTGCAAGTTATAGGACCAAAACACAACTTATGAAACATACACTGATCATAAGTACAAGACTAAATTTGCAATTTTTCCCGAAACAATATAGACAAGAAGTCGATTCATTTTCGCTTACCCGATCAATTACGGTGAAAGCTCGGGGAGCGCTCTTGTAGATCATGCTTAGCTTTTGCGTCAAATGTTTGTGGGCGTCTTCTTCTTCACCCCACAAGTTTTCCATAGGATCTTCAGCAGTCGAGTTTCCGGGATTCTTTTGGAAAAATAGTTGGCTAAATGGCCACCCTTTTGTCTTTCCGGGGTCTTTGTCGGGGATGAGGCTAAAACGAGATACGAGGGGTGGGTGGACGAGGAAATCCGAGCCGTCTAATCCCAATGCATAGGTTGCATCGGGGGTGCTCACCCCAAGATGGCATAACGAAGAACCCCTAACGGTGAGTGGCGACGTGGTTGATTGATTAATCACTACAACCTCCGAGTTCAAAAGATCGCTTCCGAGCGACACAATGTGCTTCACTTCGACATTTTCTTCGTTTCTTTCGATCAATTCGACCTGCACGCAATACGATTATTACATAATCCGACATAGTAAGCATGTCCGTATTATACAGGTATTAATGATTCTTGATAACTCGACAGATCAAAACGTGCCTGTATGGAATTTCGAGGAGATCCGCTAACTTGACAAAGGGTCCAAGAATCGGGAGACCACGCGATCCCGGCTTCGTCAAGACATTCTAAAGCTAAAGACAATCCGCCGTGAATGAGGGCTCTGGCGCTATCGTTGTGGTCCGGTTCAGACACCAAGGTATGCAACACCTCCATTGTCCCGCCGTGCCACATTCGAGGCTTGAATGATGTAATAAGACCACTCGGTAACATTAACTTTGCCGATGTTCCATCCTTGAGCTCCATTCTTACAACAAAGCTGTCTCCGATGCCTTCGAGGGAGATTCCTCTCGCGCGTAACTCACTTTCCGAGCAGTCTATATCTACCCTCGATTGAGACATCGCCGACAATCGGAAGTCCTCGCGTTCCCTTCTTCTAAACCGAGTCGCATAACGAATGCTTTCCGGGAAACTTTTAGACATGGAAGTGTCACATATGTTAGAATAGGCGGACTTTCTATTGAGGTTAGTATATCTTGAATTTTCTAGCGCGGTTTTTTTTTTTTTTTTTTATCGAGTTTTTGTTAGATTATGAAGTGTTGTGTTCAATAGTTTAGTATATTTGTAGCGAAGTTGTGAAAACACGGTTTGGTTGATGCACACTTTTTCTCAATGTGATATTTTGAATAAAAAAATAGATATATATGGTAATAATATTATAGATAAAAAAAAAATACTTTTAAAAATATTATATATCTTTTCTAGAGAAATTAAACGAACAATGCCAAAATGAATTTGAATACATAAGTAAAAAGTGCATGTAATCTTAAGCTTCTCTCAAATGTATAAATATATATATATATATGTATGGTTGTAATTTTTGCATATATATTTTTGAAGTTTTTATGTATATTGTTTATCAAAAGTATTTTTTTTTAATATTACATTATATTAATAACTTTTTTAGTATTTATAGAATATTTTAAAATTTCAAAACTTAAAAAATCACTATTTAAACCAGACCCTAAAAAGTTATTTAGGATGCACATTAGATTTATCGAGTGAAAGTGCTCAAAAGTTATTTTATATGAGAAATAATCTTTAAAACTTTATATAATTTTGGTTTTTTGGTTCAAGTCTGAAAAATATTACACTTAAAATTTATAGTTTGTTTGATTTACATTTCAAACTAATTATTTATATATTATTCAATATGTAGTTGTTAATAAAAAAATATTATTTTTCTACCTAACAAAAAGATAGAGAGAGATAATATCAAAATTAGAATACTATTTAAATACAATATTAAACAAACTAATTGAAACCAAAATCAAATAAACTCTAAAAAATCTTAAAGAAAGAATATGAAAATGAAACAATATTAATGAATTTGTTCGCATGGAATTTTTTGGTAGAACAATTTTTAATAAATATTATTGAAAAATAAAATACATATACATTAGCACAATATATATTTTATACATTTTTTCTTGAAAACAAAATAATAACAATTCAACCCAAAATATTAATTTTTACACTAAAACATAGTACAAATTAAGAAAAAATTGCAAAAATACTTCTATTAGTATCTTACAATACTAATAGAAAAATATTTGTTAAAAATATATATATACATATATAAGAATATTTTTAATGTCAAATACGCAAAAGGTAAATGTAACTTTTAGAGACGGAAGGACGGATGAGGGAGTATATTATTAACACATATTCAAAAGCACAAATGAAGAAGGGTTTGTCCTTTAGCCACCAAATTCAGGTTTCTACTATTTGAACTATACGTTTCCCGAAAAAAAAATATTTCTTCCGTCCCATAACAAATTTTTCATTTTTTCATTTTAGTTCGTCCTACAACAAAGTATCTATTTTCTTTTTTAATAACAGTACTATCTACGTAACATTACAAATACCCTTACAACTTACAATATATTACACAAATATCATTACTTTTATATCACACAATACTAATAATATTATTTTAGTCAATTCTACTTTATTCCTACTACATTACTAATATTTCTAAAACTATGTGCAAAAAGCAAACGGATACCGGGACAGAGGGAGTATATTTTTTCATCTCACAAAACATTTCATCCTACATTATTTTAATACCAAACTCAAACCAAAATTTGGCCAAACCTATCAAAAGAAATATACCCTAAATAAATAAGAAAGGAAGTAATCAAGCAATTTGAAGAAACCTGTGGATGGAAGTGGAAGTGGAAGTGGAAGGCAAGGGTGGGGTTATGCAGGTAAGCTTCTGGAAAATGCTCCACAGCATCGTCTATCGTCTCCTCTGCACCATTAATTAATTAATCAATTAACTATCACACAGACTTCTTCTTCTTCGATCTTCTTCTTCAATTAATTTCTTCTTCTGCTGCTGCTGATTGTTGTCTGAGAATGAAATTGAGATATGGAGTTGGTGTTCTCTCTCTCTCTCTCTCTCTCTCTCTCTCTCTAAATATATATATATCAACGATGATGATGATGAGGCTGCAATGTCGGTTTGTGTGGCGAGCTTTCATTCATTCATTCATTCCCATGAATATCTCTATCTATCTATCTATCTATTTATCTATCTGATTTTATTTGAGTAAAAATATTATTTATAATTTGAGTAATATTTTTTATTAGGTAAATTGTTTTTAGATTTTGTACTTTAACCTCATTTATTATTTTAACGCACTAACCGGAGTCCGTTTTACCCCTCGTAAAAATTTGTTAGAAATAATCTTCTATCACCAAAATTATTATGTTGTTGTTGAGTAGGCTCGTCAATAGTGTGTTTGTTTGGGGTTTGAATTCTGAGTTGTGATTTAAATAGTAAATATTTTGAATTTGAATAGTTGTATGATGCGATATAAATAGGTGTTGATCTGATATTTTGAATTTGAAATTAATTTTTGATATAATATAAAAAATAAAAAATAAGTGTTTGATTTGATATTTTTAGAGAATAAAAATAAAATGAATAATGAATTTAAAATCTACTCACCAAATAAACACACCTTTGTTACCAAAAAAAGTGTCTATAGTATTTAATTGAAAGTGGGTATAAAGTAGAATGTAAATTACTAAAATGTCTTTACTTTTTGAAAAATTTTAAAAAGTACGTTAGAGTAATAATTAGGGGTGGTATGAAAAAGTAGGAATAATTTTGTTATAAAGTGGGAACCATAACTACTAAATAAGAAAACAAGACAATTGTTTTGAAACGAACGAAAATGAAAAAACAAGACAAATCTTTTGCGACGGAGAGAGTATATATTTTTAAAATTTTATATTTTGCTTGCATTGCGTTGACCGATCAAGCATATCAATGCCAAATCAAGCAAGTCTACTCAACTATAACGTGGAAAATAGTTTCTGTGCTAAAATGATATAGTCAATTACTCTCTCCGTCCCAGAATTATAGTCTGAGTTGTATTTAATACGGGATTTAAAAAATATTGATATTATATTGGTAGTTGGTAAAAAGTACGAGTAAAATATTTTTTTGTCCTTGTGAATGTATTAGTGTAAATAATAGTGACAATTGTATAATAATAATGAAAAAGTAAAAATAATTTTATAGCAATCATCTATAGAAATGAGACTATTATTTTAAAAACGGACAAAAATATAACATGACTGGTGTATTAAAAAGGAGAAAGTATAAAACTAAAAAATAATTTATTTTTCCATAAGTGTTGCTAATATAAAAAAATTAATATTTTATATTTGATAGTATTTTTTGAGAGAGTTGAATATATTAACTATATATATTGAAAATATTATTAGTAAAAATTTTGGATATCTTTTTCAAGGTGCTTTTGAGAATTTTTTACTGCATTTACCATGCCAAATCAAACCACCCATGTCCCCTCTCTCGTTGACCGGTGCTGCAGCATGCAGCTTTTTACTTTTTTTTTTTATTTAAAAAAATACCTCGACGTCCGTGCACATACTCTTGTAGGGTGTGGTTGTTTGGACGATTGGATTAGATTTTTACTATTTATTTTATTTTATTTTTAGAAAACATTAAATCAAATATCTATTTTTTATTTTTTATATTATACTAAAAATAAATTTTACATTCAAAACATCACATCAACACCTATTTATATCACATCATACAACTATTCAAATTCAAAATTTTTACTATTCAAGTCCCAATTTAAAATCCAAATCCCCAAACAAACACACCCGTAAAGTAATGATTTGATCGTTATAATAATTATTGTTTAATATAATATACTCCCTCCATTCCGAAACTAAGCATTCATTTGCTTTTTATACGTAGTTTTACAAATATTAGTATTATATTGGGATATAGTAGGAATAAAGTAGAAATGACTAAAATAACCTTATTAGTATGTGTGATATAAAGGTAATGGTATTTGTGTAATATATTGTAAGTTGTAAGGATATTTGTAATGTTAGGTAGATAGTACAGTTACTAAAAAATGAAATTGATACTTTGTTATGAGACGGACTAAAATGGAAAAATGGATACTTTGTTATGGGACGGATATCGTAATATGTATTTCATTTTGTAGAAAATAAATTTTTTATAATATAAAAAAATAAAATTTTAAAATTATATATATAAATATAATATAAATTTATATTATATTATTAATTTTTAAAATTTGAATTTAATACCCATTTATATTTTTATATTTATTATCAATCAAATTAATACTATCAAAATTCAGCAAACTCAAACCAAAATCGCACATAAAAGAAATATAACAACTCAAACATATTTTAAAATTCAAATAAAAATCAAATTCAAACTCATTTTTTCTCGAAACCCCGTGAACAAACACACCCTTGGTTGAACAAACAATTTTGTGTTTTGGTTGAACAAACAAATTTATGTAATAAGAGCAACAGGCTTTCTTCACTTCTTCTATAATTATTATCTTTCTCTTTGTAAGTTATATAGGTCTTATTTATATAGACTTTTTAGAAGTTTTGTGAGTTTAAAAATTTTCCAAAAATTAAATATTTAATGTAATATTTTTTGAGAATTTTTAGAAGTTTTGTAAGTTTAAAAAAAAAATTCTAAAAATTAAATATTTAATATAATATTTTTTGAGAAAAGCGTATACATTTATATATGTATATATATATTCAATGTCATCTTTTAAAAGATATTCCTTTCGTTTTACATATGGTGCAATATTTAGTTTTCAGTATATAAATTTAAGTGGATAATATTAAGTGAAACAAATTGAGAGTCAGATAATGTCATGAGAAAAATGTATATATATATATTTTTTATTTGAGTAATATAATTAAATAAAATATAGATAATTATTTTGTATTTTAAAAATACTGTAGAGTATGTATGACATACCAAAATAAAAAATATTGTACAGGCATGGCCCGGTTTAAAACCGGGCCTAAACAGCTAGGCCAAAGCACAACCCGATTTGATCAAATATAAACCAACTTAAATATTTTACCATCAAGCTATATTTATATTTTTGTTACAATTTTATTAGTTATTATATACATAAATAAATTAAATATTAAATATTAATTTAAAAAAATTGGGTCGGGCCAAGCATTGCCCGACCTTCATGGGTCTGGGATGGCCCGAAAAAATTCGTGCCTATTTTTGGAGGCCCAAGCACAATTTTTTGTATCGAATTTGAATCGAATTTTCAGATCAATACCTATTTTTGTCACCTCTAAGTATGTAGGACATAGGAAATAGTATATATTATAAATAGATAATGTCAAAATTTATTTTTGTCACCTCTAAATATGTGGGACATAGGAAATAGTATATATTATAAATAGATAATGCCAAAAATTTTAAAATGCGCGTAAAAGAGTTCTACAATTAGGGGTAGGTCAGTACGATATATTATCATAGTGATACCATACTGAAAAATCGGTATGACCGATATATATATATACTCCATCTGTCTCAATTTAAGGTAACATTTTTATTATTTTTGTATGTTCCACTCAAAAGTACCATTTGTCTATTTTATAAAAAATAATCATATACTAATATCAAAATACTCTTAACTTTTACTTAAATTACAAATATACCATTAGACATACAATTACTTTATACATAAAGTCATGGCCAACATATCAAATTACTCTTAGACACTTTCACCAATCAATAAAATACTACTCCCTCCGTCTCCAATCTATCTATCCATTTTGTTTATGCACGGGATTTTAGGAATACTAGTATTATATTGGGGTAAAGTAAAAATAAGGTAAAAAGACTAAATTAATCCTATTAGTATTGTATGACATAAATGTAATGGCATTTGTGTAATATATTATAAATTAGAAGGGTATTTGTAATGTTAGGTAGATAGTACAATTACTAAAAAAGAAAACGGATACTTTGTTATGGGACGGACCAAAATGGAAAAATTGATAGATTGTTAAGGGACGGAAGGAGTATTATTTTTTAATTTATTATAAAATTCCAAATGGTTCATTTCAATTCAGACGGAGGGAGTATAACACTATATTGATATACCAAATACCAAAATAGCAAATAATATACGGTGTTTTCGGATATACTGAAATAACAAAATTATAGATTTATATATTGTTACTATACCGAACTTTCAGTATTTTTTATATTTTTTTATATGATATATACAATATTTCAAAATTTTTGTATTTTTTCCACCTCTAATTAATGACAATTACTTAATTTTCTATTCCAATGAAAATATTGAAGTTTTTGTGAAGACGATTGTCCAAAAAATCTCAAGAATATATTTTTAATTAATTAGTTAGATTTTTTAACGGAAGGAGTTTCTTTCATGTAAAGAACCCCACGCAGCATTAAAAAAGAAAATTAGTCAAATGACAAGGGAATCCGCGTTCTGCATAGCAACGGTGTTGGACTGTATTTGAAATTGAGACACAAGACAAAAGAAAAAATTATATGTTTTTTATTATTTTTATATATTTTATTTTAATTATATATATTAATGATTTTATATTTTATAAAATTTGATTTTTTATAAAAATAATATATTTTTTCAATAAAATTTTAATTAAATATAATTAATAATAATAAATATTTGTTATAATTTATAAATTAAATTATTGGATAAATAAATATTAATAAATATGTATATTAGATAAAATTATTATTATTTAGATTATTTTTAAAAAAAAAGGCAATTTAATAATACGAAAGAAAAGAAAAATTAAAATTTGTATACATAAGTTCTTTTGGTGTGGATATAAAATGAAATGGGTTTCTCCGATGACGTGACAGAGAAAAAATATGACGTGAAAAATAAGAAATGGATGGGAGAAACCCATATTGGATTTCATTGATGCGGATGCTCTTATATTTGCACAACATCCCATGTTGTTCAGTATGTTTATGTGTTGTTTGTATTTTTGTATCTTACCTCTTATGTGTTTACGTTTGAGCCTGAAATTCGATTATGTATTATATGATTGTGTGTTTACTTATTATTTCTTTGATTTCATGTGAATACGTACAGTTTTGTACGTGTTGTGTGGAGAATTTCTATTTCAATTATGTTATTGGTGTTAAAGCTCGATGTGTTTTGATTTGAAGTGAGGTGTGATATCTATTGCTTGATATGAGGAGTGACTTCGTTTTGTTTGGTTTTGGTTAGAACTATGATTTTTGAGGAATTTTTTTTACGGACATAGGATATAATACTTACTTCGTAGTTGAGTCAGCACATTAACTGTGTTGGGATTGGACCAACTAAACATTACATTACAAAAAAATATCAATTTTGTAACAAGATTTTTTCGTTGTTAAATCCACTTTTTCCGTTACTAATGATATTAGAGACGGAATTAGAGATGAAATTACGTTAGCTACGTGAACTTTAGGAACGGAATTCCGTTACAGATATACTATATTTTTGTAGTGTTAGTATGATATTGTCCGCTTTAGGTTGAGCCTGCACGGATTTGTTTTTGAACTTTTTTCAAAAGACTTCATACTAGTGGAGTTCATGTATGACTTATAAGGTGTGAAATTTTTTTCACATCTTTCAATGTGACTTAAGTTTGCATCTCAACAATTGTCTCCTCAAACTAAGAATCAACAAATGGTCTTCCTTGTCCACCTTGTACCGTCTATCACAAATGAACCCGTTGCCTGACCAACCAAATGTCAGAAGACTTTCGACACAAGGTACATCCGCAGGTCACGAGGGCAAATCCACCACCACAACTAATGTCCAATGCCACTTAGTTCACTTCACCATCAAACCAAGTTCTGATACAATTGTTGGGACTGGGCCAACTAAAATTAGTATGATATTTTCCGCTTTGGGCTAAGCCCGCACGTATTTGTTTTTTGACTTTTTCCAAAAGACCTCATACTTAGTGGAGTTCATGTGAGATTTATAAAGTGTGAAATTTTCTTTATATCTTTTAATGTGGGACTTGGGTTTGCACCCCAACAAAATATTTTTTTTCTATCCGAATTTTTTTAAAGTTGTTTTATTGATTCAATTTCGAGCGCAAATAATTTTTATTTTTTAAAATTCATTGTTCACTTTGAATGATCTTTAGGTTATTGGATGGATTTTTGAGTGAGTTTTCCAATACCATAGATGTTGAGTCAATCCAAGATCTGATGATCAACTTACAAGTGAATAATTTATCAAAGTTCTTTAAAAAAATTGATGCTATTTCATTACTTGTTTTTACAACTTTAGCCCATTTTTTTCTTATTCTTCTTTTTCAACCTTAATTATATCGCTTCCACAATTTCCTATGAACCCTAGCAGCCTTATTATTTTGTCAATTCGATTTTGATGAATTTCTAAAACACTCTACTTTTTTGTCATTTTTTGTCGCTCCCACAATCTCCTATGAACCCTAGCAGCCTTATTATTTTGTCAATTCGATTTTGATGAATTTCTAAAACACTCTACTTTTTTGTCATTTTTTACTACCAAATTAGTTTTTTGTGTTTTGTTGGAAATTTTTGGTGTTCTTTCATGTCTTTTACTTGCCATGAAATTGTTGATGAATAAGATAAAATTTTGGGTATTTTGGTATAAAAACCTTGTGCCAAAAATTTCAATTTGATGAGTTAAAGTAAATTTTAAAAAATGTTTTGAACAATAATTTATTAGGTAATTTAATTAGTTGATTCGACTAGTTGATTTAATTACATGTTTGTAATGTTAAGTAAAAATTGGTTTGATATTTGGTGTTTATTTATAAAATGACAATTAAGGACATTTACATGTTATTTTTTAAAATATTTAATTTTGTTCATTTTGATTTAAAATTTTTATAATTTATGTTATTAATTATTGAAAATATAAAAATATTATAAAATATTTATTTTTATGTTCTAGATTTGGGAAAAATAATTTTATTAAAAAATAATTTTTTTTATTGAAATTGTAAAATGTAAAATAATAAATAATAAATATTTTTTATATATATTTTTATTTATGTTAATTATTTTTTATTGATTTATTCTATTTTATTTATTTCGAATGTAAAATGTATATAATAAAAATATTTATAAATAAATTAATAATATTAGTTTAATTTTAATAGATTTATATATTTACAAATAAAATAATTTACATGTAATACTTAATAATTATTATTATTTTAAATTTGAAAAAATTATAATTTAATAAATAAAACATATTAAAATTAATTAATAAATACTGCAATAATAATATATTTATATATAATGAATAATTAAGGTTTAAGGGTAAAAAAAATAAACAAAATTAAAGTAAAAAGATCTTCTAAAGACGGCTGAGTAGATTTGTTTTTTAGAAATTAGTTTTTTTGGGTGTAAAAAACTATTTCAAAAAACTAATTTACCAAACAAGTAAAAATTACTTTTTTGAATGTTGAGACAGCTAAAAACTGTTTAATAAGTTAAAAGATATTCAAAAAGTTCTTTCCCAAATAACCCATCTATTAAATTTTTACTATTTTATCATTTTTTCTAAAATATAAATTCAAAATTTTATTTTTTATTTTATAATAATAATAATAATTATAATTAATTTTTACATTCAAATATCAAATTAATACCTATTATTATATTATACAAATATTAAAATTCAAATTTTTTACTATACAAATCTCAAACTAAAAATTCAAATCCCCGAACATACACAAAGAGAAGACAATACATGCTCAAAAGATATGGGGTTTGTTTGCTCCGTGAGAATGCTGAAAAATAATTTTTTTCCAAATGAAGTATAAAAAATCGTATAAATAATATAAAAATAATAAATATATTTAATTTATTAATATTTTTTAGAAAATATGTAAGAAAAAACACAGATGGAAGATCAAAGCCATGACGTTCTCCGAAGAGTACACATAAGTAAGAATAAAGCGTGATGAAAATACTTATGGACTCATGGGCTAATCTATGATTATGAGAACATGCCGGACTTGAAATTTTTTAATATACCTTAAATAGTGTAATAAATACAAATTTTATAATCGAAATTCATATTTATTAAAAATAAAATCTAATATATATATATATATATTTACTGTTGATTCTATGTCACAACGTGGCCGACACAGAATATTTTTTTATTTTCTTAAAAATTATTTTTCTTGTGGGTCCCACTTAATCAAATAATAATAAAATAAACTATGGAGAAATACATAATTTTTTCTATTTGTTTTAATTTTTTTTTGTTTTTTGGATCCTACTTAATTAAATAATAATAAAATAAAAGAAAAGAGAACGACAGGTGAACTTTATAATTATATACGGTTGTGTTGTTACACGACCTTATATAATTATACATAACTATTTTATTACATGATCATGTATATTTCAATGTATAATTATATATGACCATGTCACACAACCCTGTATAATTTTATACAACCGTATACCTTTTTGTTTTGATCTAAAATTTTATTTTTTTGTTATATTTTTTTTTGAATTTAAAATAGTTGATATAGTTAAAATGGAAAAAAAATCAATAATAATCATAATATAATTAAAATATATCAATTTTAGTTCAAATATAAATATTTATCGAGTATGGTCTTTTGGGAGATTTTGTCTGAAATTCTACTATTTAAAAAAAAAAAATTCTCTTACAAATATCCAATTACTGTATTGAAATAATAAATTAATTTTTAATACATCTATAATACACAAAATTAAAAAAAATTTATGAATGTAGGTCTCACGAATTATAATGACTTTCATCATTCAAATCGAGATGTTGCATTTTTTTTTTATTTTTTTTTTAAAATTTTGAGTGTGAGACTCACGAATTAAATTTATAATTTTTTTTATTGTACAATAATAATATTTTTACAAATTCCTGTCCATAACACAGAGTGACCATTAGTATACTTATATTATTTTTTACTAGAAAAAACAACATATAATAAAATACATTTTATTAAAAATAATATGAATTATATATAAAAAAATATGTTTATTTGTATTTGATTTGAAATATTTTGACTTAAATTTAATACTAAAATACTCTTTAAAATATTTTATGAGAAAAAAAAATATATATAATCGAAACACCTACCTAATTTAAAATACAAATCAATTATGATAATATTAAAAACAATTAAATATATAACCTTGAAACAGTAGGAAAGAATGAGGACCCGACCCGTTTAAGGAGCCGTTGGTAGGAAAGACATAAATGCATTCCTTACTTGAGAAAGCATTTCAATGGAGGAGCGCTTCAACTGCAGCAATTCCCTCCGCGGGCATGGTAGGTATTTTTGGATCCATGGATGGATGGCCACCCAAATTTCTCTCACACCCAAACACCTCCTTTTTGTTTCTCTCTCGGGATTTCGACATTCCATTTTCGATCCATCTTCTTGTTATTGCAATGTTTGGCTATTAGTGAAAAATTAGGGTTTGATTGAATCTGGTCGGTCAGGATCGATTGCGGGCGTTGATCTATCTAGCCGTGTGCGTTGATGTATGATTACTCAATTGCATCGACTCTTTTAGGGAAGATCGGTTCGAAGAGTGGAGAAGAAGATTGGGGGCATTCCCCTTCGATCTCGAAATGGTTTGAATAAAGAGGGTGATTCTTTCGATCTCGAATTAGTAATTTTCATTTGGAAGAATGAGCGCTTCAAGATTCATCAAGTGTGTGACGGTGGGGGATGGTGCGGTTGGGAAGACTTGTCTCTTGATTTCCTACACCAGCAACACTTTTCCGACGGTCCGCCATTCTTCTTCTCATTTAATTTCTTTCAGATTCCAATTCCTTTTTTTTTTTTCATCATCGTTTTTGGGAATAGGATAAGATGATTTGATTGATGATTTTGAACCTACGTCTGGATAATGCTTTATTGTGGCAGATCTTCTGTAATTTCTTGAAAAGGATACCGTTTTGAGAAATTGGGTACAAATGAAAGTATTTATAGAATGATACTTTTGGATTAGTGGAAAGTTCATAGGAATTTGACAGTGTTGAGTTTTTGCTAGTAGGCCTAATGTTACAGTGACTGCTTGCTTCGATAATGATAAGATATTAATGAAGTTGCGGGTTATATGAGGTTTCTATGAATTGTTTGTGTGCCATCAGGTTTTTATGTATTCCACACCAAGGGATTTCACGAGTCCTTTTTTGTTTTGTTTTTGTTTAGCTGTGGCTTGGTGATGGGCATGATTAACATTTTTTGGTGATATATATTGATATTTATATATATATATATATATAGTTTGGTTTGAATAGTAGTTTGAACGTTATGTTTTTTTTTGGAGAAAATAGTGTCATTTTACAAGGAATCTTGAAGGTTGAATAGTAAAAATTTTGGAACAAATCATCAAAAGGGATTTGTCTGCTGAAAAGGACAAATTTCTTGAAACAAATCACTAAACATCGTTTTTGAGGAATTTCTTGAAAAAGGAGAAATCTTTGAGAAAATTTGATAGTTAGATATTAGATTTATCTGATCATGAAATTATTTATACAAAGGCCGTGTTTAGATAGAGGTTTTGAAATATTGAAAAAATTTGGGAATCAGTGACAACTCTAGTGTCTTACGTATTGACCTTCTAAGTATCGACAGTGTTTGCCTTCTACTTATATTCTTCATTGTTAAACATGCATACTCCCAAGAACTCGCCTCTCGGCTATAACAACTCTCTTATTGATCATATCTTGGTGGAAAAAATTAGTAATTATAATAAGTTGGTGACTTGAAGGTCTTTTTTTTTTTTTTTTTTTAAATCTTATTAGAGATGTTAAGCTATCGTTTATGATACTGCATATTATTCGACAATATTAATATGCTTTTGTGAATGAAACAGGATTATGTTCCTACTGTATTCGATAATTTCAGTGCAAATGTGGTTGTCAATGGAAGCACTGTTAACCTTGGCCTGTGGGATACTGCAGGTAATTAATACGCACATACGTGAAGATATTTGTCCATTTTGATACTTAAACATGCTGCTGCTTTATATTACTGGAATTTGTCTTTATATATGTCTATTAACATTTTATGCATTCACTTGTCGAACAGGACAGGAAGACTATAACAGATTAAGACCCTTGAGTTATCGAGGAGCTGATGTTTTCATCCTTGCATTCTCTCTCATTAGCAAGGCTAGCTATGAAAATGTTTCCAAGAAGGTAAGGATTCCGTGAGCTGTGTGAGATTGTTTTTTTTATGTTGCTGTTCCCCTTATCCTTTTTTTTCAACATTTTTGGCACCTATGTATATATATTTTGTATATTTGTATTTTTAATTTATTGTTTATATTTTATATTATTTTTTAAATTATAAATTAAAGATAAATATTCATATTATAAAATATAATACTCTCCGTCATGTAAAAATAAATTCATTTGGTTTGTGCACGAGTTTTAATGTGGCGTATACTTTTTGTCTTTGTATAATAAAAAGTAGTATGTTTTTTTGATAAGAAAACAAAACATGCCAATTTTTTTTGACAAACAAATAAGTAAAATGATTTTTTTTTGTTTAAAAAAAAAATTATGACAAGGTGTATTACAATAACAAAATAAATGATTTGATTTATTATTGTTTTAAAAAAATATTAATATTGCATAATTTGGATTTATAAAAGTATATATATTTTGTGTTAATATATAAATAAATAAAAGTTGAATGGAGTTTGCGTAATTGTTTAAAATAAATTAAAAGAAATAATATATACATAAAATATTCTTTCTAGAAGAAAAGATAGAGTGGGTTGGAGTGAGTTTAAAATTTGATGTAAAATGTAGAGAAAATAGAGGAATCGAGTAGAGATGATGTGGTCTAACCAACAATCTTTTTTGTCCTGATATGTCTTTTGTGCTTGGACTTCACTTTTGCAGTGGATTCCTGAATTGAATCATTACGCCCCGGGTGTACCCATAGTCCTTGTTGGCACAAAAATTGGTATGATAGTTGTTCCAATTTTTCTTTTGTTCCCTGATAAATTCCTTTGCATATTAAATGTGTTGGTGGTACGTGGAAACTGCTGTTGATAACCTGTGGAGTTTAATTTTGAATGGTTATGATATAAATATAAATAACATTGTATTTGAAATTAGCTCTTAAGTTGCACTTGGTATTAGTCAATCAGTATGTAGATTTGTTGCATTAGCTTTGTCCACCTATCTCTCCATTAAGAGTTACTAGTAATGTTCCGATAAAAAAAAAAAAAAAATCAAAAAAGAGAAAGAGCGAGTTACTTGTAATGTAAGAGAGTTAGTGCAACGATTAAGAGTTACTTGTAATGTTCCGATCAAAAAAAAAAAAAAAGAGAAAGAGCGAGTTACTTGTAATGTAAGAGAGTTAGTGCAACGAGTAGGAGGACTACGGCTGTTATAATTAGTTTGAGTTCATTATTCTTGCTAGGTGGTAATTGCATATTTCAGCTTGCCGTATCTATTATAGGTTATGACGATCCAAGTGAGCTTACTTATTATAATTTTCATGTAGAAATGGTATTTGAATAAACTTTATGTATGATTTTCCGGAATGGTCATGGGGCAAATCAGCGCCCTAGTCAGGACATAAAAACCAACACAATAGGCAGACAACACATGTTTTTATTTAATACGGTACATGCTGTGGAATTTGAAAACATGCGATCATATTTATTGTATTGAAATCAATTGTTGCATGTATTAGCATAAATTATGTCATGTGTTGTCAGCATTTGTATTAAATTGACGTAAATCATGTGTTGTCCGTCTATTATGTTGCTGAATTATAATTTTCAGCAACGTTACCACCGCCGTAATTTCCTGTAAGTTTTGTTATGTCCCATGCTGTGTTGTGTCTGTTCACAATGACTCCAAAATGATCTTTAACTGCCATTGTTACATTACTAATTCTCGGCTACTAAGTTTAAAGGCAATATTATTAAAACATATGTTATCGATACCTTTTTCAACTACTGCGGTGACTTAACCTAGACAAGTTATTTTCCATAGAAACTTTTGTTTAGCATTGTTGATAAATTTCACGGTATTTTCATTTTCCTAAATTTTTGTTTCCACATATTTACACTTCTTAAGCCGAAAGTTACGGTGTTTCTTACAATGGTTTTATGAGTTCAGATCTTCGGGATGACAAGCAGTTCTTTGAAGATCATCCAGGGTCTGTGCCGATCACTACAGCACAGGTCAGAAGACATTCCACAATCTACGTCCGAGTTTTTCTTTTTTCTTCGTCTCTCAACCATCTCTTATTAATACGATAACTGAACTACAGGGCGAGGAACTGCGAAAACAGATCGACGCCCCTTCTTACATTGAATGCAGTGCAAAAACACAAGAGGTACACAATGCAATGCAACTCACCTCCCCTTTACTATTTTTAAATTCAATCCTATGCTATGCGATTAGAATTTTTCGATTCATCGAATCTTTTATTCCAGAATGTGAAAGGAGTTTTTGATGCTGCCATTAAAGTTGTTCTTCAACCACCAAAGCAAAAGAAGAAGAAAGGAGGAAAGGCCAAGACCTGCTCTATATTGTAATTTCCTGCAATGTGTAATTCCTTCCAACTCTTTTTACCAATTGTTTTGTTTTCTTGGACTCAAAGTAGAATGGCCAGTTTCCCTTTGCTTAGAGCAACTAGTATATAGATCTATATATATATATATATATATATTAATGTATCATTTTTTTTCTTTCTGAACTTTATAAAATATTAGAAAATTAAAAGATTTGACATGTATATATATCATCACAATAATATAAATGTAATTTATTAAAATAATACGAAATATTATAATCTTAATACTTTTAGATAAATTTTTTATGTTAAGTGGATTGGCCAATTTAAAAACATTTTGTAAGTGCAATGTCTGATGAGAAAATGGGGTTAAGTTCTGTAAGGATGCAATATCAAATTTATTAGTATCTCTTCACAATTAGAGTGTTCTTTATAGATGAAAATTTTTATTTTTATTTTTATTTGAAGAAATGTTGGTTTTTTTCTTTATTTGAAGAACATTTTTCTGACAATAGATAAATTATTACACTATGTGATTTAAAGAAGAGAACTTTAAAGAATGTGATTTAAATAATTGAGATATTTTATTGGAAAATATTTATCATATTCTTGGGCTGAAAAAAAATATTGCTTCAGTTTATTAGATAATTGACTTTGGAATGTATGTTTTTTATGTCCATATGTTGTCTAGATTTTTTTAATATTAGAAACACTAATGCCGAGATTCAATTTATTGGAAAAATAAAAAAAAAGAAAAAAGAAAAATTATTTTATGTACTATCAGGTAGTTATGCATATGTTTAGAGGACTAGTAAAGCTGCTAGTCTGCAGTTTGACATGCTCGTTTAGGCCATGTAGGTTTTTAGGAAAAATTGAAAAAAATATTCCACACGTATACCTCGTTATCATTTTTGTTCTGTATTTATCTTGCGTGATGTGAATGTCACGCGCGGACAAAAGATATAAATAGCGAATTCTGTAAACATGTGGTATATATTTTGCCAGGGAGATAAATATAGGACAAAAGTGATAATAAAATATAAATGTAGATATTTTTTGCAATTTTCTCTAGGTTTTTAGTTATTGCAACAAATTTCCTCAAGGCAACTTCTTGTAGGGATGTCAATTCTTAAGAGAATCCGCAATGAGATGTCTGAGTTCTCAATATGGAAAATCTCTTTGCTTGCTTTTTTCAATTCATTGAATAGGGCATCTGATTCACTAAAATTGGTGTATGCAAATATTATTGGAGCAACAAGAACCACTGGTTACTTTGGTTTTGATATATAATAATGGTGCTCATTGATGAATGTTCTTGATATAGATGGATTTAACTTTTAAAATTCACATTTAAAGTTTTCTCTAACTTTGTACAGCTCAATAATGCAATAAGAAATGAGTTTGCCAAGTCCATTATGTGTTTGTGATGAATTGATAATGGAAAATAATTTTTAGTAGCCGATTTCATGAATTATTGCAAGGAACATATGATTCAATAACAAATGACTTGTCGAGACACCCTACAATCGAACGGTATGGTAAAGTACAAGATAGCTTACTCGACATCTATTTATATGTCATGGATATATGCAAAGTATCTTCCAAGAAAGTTATGGGTTGTCTGTCTTTCTTTCTAGTTGTTGTACCGTCTCGGATGTGAATTATTTTTGAGTTTTTGGATCTGATTGCAATGTTCATGTGGTTAATTAGAAGAAGCAAACAAAATTTAATCCAAAAGCCAGATGTAACTTTGTGGGCTATGATACATATCGGCAAGGGTAGAGATGCATGGATTCTAAAACCCCACCAAGTTATTGTCTCGCATGATGTAGTATTTGATGAGATTTCACTCTATGACAACATTGTTAGTAGAAACAATATAAATCTTACGCTTACTTAAAGGATACTTTGATGAAGATAATGAGTCTTCTGAACATATCTGATGAAAATATTGATGAGGGGATAAATGATGCCTTATGTAGAAAATAACCAGCACTCTTGGAGTATGAAGTTCAATTAAATAAATTTTATGTAATATCTTGTTTCTTTAGGGTATGTTTCTTTATCCAAATCTTTTTAAATTTTACTATTTGGATTCTACGTTTTCCGAAAAAAATACATTTTTTTTCTCTCACAACACCTGAGAGCTTATTCGTAAGAGAAAAGATGTTTTAATTGCTTGCAAGTATGTTTACAAATCTAAAAAGTTGCCTAATTTTACAAGTGATAGGCTTAAAGCCCTCCTTGCAGCTCGTGGTTTTTCTAAAGATTACAATGAAGATTATCAAGGGATATTTAGTTTTGTTGTTTAAATGGTTACTGTTCGGCTATATTTTCCTTGTCTGCTCACGGATGCTGGAAATTGGGCAATAGATGCGAAAAATGTATTTTCTTATGGAGGTCTTGACCAAAGACATCTATATCTAACAACACCTGGGCTTTGTTTCCAAAGAAATTTCGAACTATATGTGTCGCCTCAAGAAGGCGTTGTATTGTCTCAAGCAAGCACCTCATGCTTGGTTCAGTAAGATTGCTCAATATCTTGTATTTTGTCATTGTACATATTTAGATGTTCATCAAAGTTTATTCATCAAGAAAACACCTACTATGTGCACTATGTTTCTTTTATACGTGGATGCCATATAATTATTACTAGATATAATGAGACTGAACTTATTCTTGTGTATTTTTTTTCTAAATTGTATATGTCAAGGTCGATGCTAAGGCAAAAATAGATGCAAAATTGGTGAATTGCACCGTTATTGGTTATGGTGGTGATGAGTTCAATATCGATTTTGGGATGAAACTAATCGTAAGACCATATATCTTTAATGAGCAGGTCTTGTATAAGGACAAGCTCAGAACGATCAGAGTGTGGATGATATTTAGGTCGAGCTGCCTACCCCTGTTGCTAAGAATATTGAGATCCTGACGGAAACTAATCTGAACAACACCGTTAGCACTAAAAAGATCCGTAAACCAACATTGTGCACCAAAGAGATACGCACCTACTCTTTATTATTTACTTCTTAACTGACAATGGCAAACCGAAATATTATGCAAAGACCAAAGTTAGTTAGGAAGATGAGAAGTGGAAGCTTGATATGGAAAATGAGATGAACTCTATCATAACCAACCAGACATGAGAGTTAAGTGAACTTCCAAAAGGTGAAAAAGCACTGCATAACAAGTAGGTCTAAAGGACAAAATAAAAAGTATATAAAAGTAAACGATACAAGGCCAAATAGGTAATGAAGGGATATGAACAAAGATATGACATCAACTACACTAGCGTGCTTATTTTTGTTGTGAAGCTGACAATAATCAAATTGGTATTGGGCATGGTAGCATCCAAGAACTTGGTGCTCAGACAGTTAGATGTCAAGACAAATTTCCTTCATTGCGAATTGGATGAGGAGATGTACATGATACAATAAGAAAGATACGCAACTGAGAGATAAGGAAACCTGTTATGCAGGATAAAGGAAAAGCTTATATGATCTTAAGCAAGCACGGAGATAGTGGTATCGGAAGTTTGATGAATTCATGTACAAGATTGGCTTCAGAAAATCCAATGCCGACCATTGCTGCTACTTTAAGAGGTTTAATGGCTCATATATAATACTTCTATTATATGTGGACGATATGTTATTGTCAGGGTCTGGTGCACAAGAGGTTACGAAGTTAAAGCAGTAATTGACAGAAAAATTCTCGATAAATGATCTTGGAAAAGGGAAACAAATATTGGGCATAAGAATAACTCAAGACCGAGATAGTGGGAGGTTGAGCCTCTCAAGGAGAATATATGAAAAAAGTTCTAAGGAGGTTCAACATGCAGGATGTGAAACTTATCAAAGAATGAGTTGGAAGGTGCTCAAATGAGAGTCTTCCGTATGCATTTTCCATAAGAAGTCTGACATACGCCATGATTGGTATAAGATCGGATATAATACATGCAGTGAGAATACTGAACCGATTTATAAGCAATCTTGGAAGACAATATTGAATTGGAGTGAAGTGGATACTGAGTTATTACGAGGCATTGCAAATAAGACACTGATCTTCAAGAAATGGAGCCTTGATTAACTGGATTTGTGGATTCCGATTTTTCAGGGAATGACTAAAATAAGAGGAAAAACACATATTGGATATGTGTTCACTTATGGAGGGACAACAACATCTTAGACTTCAAAGCTACAAAAGGTAGTTGCTTTGTTGATGATGGAAGTTGAGTACATTGCGTAACAGAGGTTAGCATGAAGATGGTTTTGCTGCATAATTTCATTCTTGAGTTGAGAAATAATCCAAAAAATAATAGTTTTTACTGCCACAGTCAGTGCAATCTACTTAACAAATAATCCTACATTCCATGCAAGAACGAAACATATTGAGTTGGAGTTTCATTATATTTGTGAGCTATTGGATAGAAAGATTCTAAAATTGGAGAAGATTCAATGATTGAAAAATGCTAGGGATATGTTCACTAAGGTGGTTATCTTAGTTATACTGAGGTTATGTTCAACTTCAATTGACTTCGATTAGTGAAGAACGAGTTGTGGCGGCCTTATAGTGACTAGTTGAAGATGAAATACAAGATAGGTAGTACTTGGACTTCAGGTGGGAAATTGATGTGTTGTGAAACACAAGTTGGAGCTAAGGAAGTACTGTACATCCAGTCCTTTTTGTCACCATTTGCGTGCTAATGTTTGACTTACACTTTTATATATACATCATGCATTCTCTCTGTAGTATATACTTAAAAATTCTAAAAACCTAACTTAAACACCCCAAAACATTCTCTTTGTAGTATATACTTAAAAATTCTAGTTAAAAAACCTAACTTGAACACCCCAAAACATTCTCTCTGTAGTATATACTTAAAAATTCTAGTTAAAAAACCTAATTTGAACACCCCAAAACATTCTCTCTGTAGTATATACTTAAAAATTCTAATTAAGAAACCTAACTTGAACACCCCAAAACATAAATATCTTAATCGGACTGAGTTAACAAATCTTTATTTTCTAATAATAATTATTATTATTTTATATATTTCTAATGTACTGTCATAGTCCAAACTAAATTATAAATAAGAAAGAAATACAAATGACTGACAATATATTAATATAAACTAGAGCTGACATTATTATTCATTAAGTAGCTAGTTTTGAAAATATAAGAAGCTAAGAAAACATGTAAATTGTTAAATAATTATCCCTTAAAAATATTAATCATAACTCGAAGATGATATTATGTTGAATGATCATCTCAATTGAATATTCAGACTTAATAAATATATTCATCATTATATTACATATGAACCAACGCAAATTAAGAAATTAGAAAGCAATTCAAAAGATAATTTAATCTTCGATACATATATAAATTGTTAATTAAATGATCATCTCACATAAAAATTTAGTATGTTTTTATTATGGATGAAATTAATTTATTTTGTTATAAAATTTATCACCGCTCTCTTATATATATACACTACAAGAAAATATTATTTTTGTAACGAAATATTTTTGTCTCTAAATCTACTTTTCTCGTTACTAATGACATTAGAGACAAAATTATGAATAAAATTACATTAGCTACATGAACTTTAGGAACGAAATTCCGTTACAAATATACTATTATTTTTGTAGTGATATATATATGCATATAATTTTGTACAATATCTTTTTATTTTGAACAAATTTTGCATTAATTATTTATATTTATTGTATAAAAATTAATATATATATACATATTTAAATATCACATATTTATTTTATTGAAATTAACATTAAAATTTCTCTCAAAATATATGATATTTAAATACTTATAGTCATTTATTTTTTAATGTCTACAATTATTATTATTATTATTATTATTTGCCTTCATTTTGTACATTCTAACACAGTGTTAAAGAGTCCAAACTAGTTACAGCAGGGCACTATTATTTATTGAATAGTTTCCAAAATATAAGAAGGTAAATTGTTAAACGATTATCCCATTTAAAAAATTAATCTTAACCAGAAGATGCATAATAAAATATGATGTTAAATGATCGTCTCAATTAACCGGTTAAACGTAATAGGTATACGTATTGTGATATTACATATCAACCAACACAAATTAAAAAGTTTCAAAGCAATTACAAAAAAAATCCTTAATTTAATCTTCAATATATATATATATATATTGTTATTTAAATGACCATCTCACATAATCATTTAACATACATTCAGAGCCGGAATGTTCACTATCAAGTTCCAGCGCCATTTATTTTGTTATTGTCCACATGCAAGATTCGTATACGACATATATAAACATAAGCTAAATTTTTAAGTGAAATAGTGATTAATCGAAATGCAAGATTCATATATAACATATATAAACATAATCTAAATTTTTAAGTGAAATGATCATTAATCAAAATGTAAAATTCGTATATGGTATATATAAACATAAGCTAAAATTTTAAGTGAGATGATCATTAATCAAAATGCAAGATTTGTATATGGCATATATAAATATAAGCAAAGTTTTTAAATAAGATAGATCATTAATCAAAATGTAAGATTCGTATATGACATATATAAACATAAGCTAAGTTTATTCGTATATGGCATATATAAATATAAGCTAAGTTTATTCGTATATAACATATATAAATATAAGCTAAGTTTTTAAGCGAGATGATCATTAATCAAAATGCAGGATTCGTATATGGTATTTATAATCGTAAGCTAAGTTTTTAAGTGAGATGATTATTAATCAAAACTCCTACGGGCCTTCCCGAAATACTCTTGCAAAACTCACAAGATATTGGTGCTTGCCGTTCGACCGAACCATGCGTTTTGTTCTTCTAAACGGCGAATCAATTACGATCAGCTCATGAACCCTAGTAGTCGAGTTGCACACATCGTTTGGATGCCACACCAACCTGTGGTTTGTGTCACTAAAACCCCTCTCAATCTTGAACCAGTTCCCAACAGTGTCACAACTTGGATTACCTAGAGCACCTCCAATAGTTATTAATGGTAAACCTGTAGCCGGATCGGCATCGCCTACTTGCCACACTGTGGAGTTAGCGCACGATGAATTGTAGTTGGAGGTTTCAAACATAATGTTGAGTGATTGGGAGAAATGGATGTTGGATTCTCCCACGGTCCGGGGATGGAAGATGACCGGGATGCCTTCTGGGCCATGGATGAATTGCGACACGACAGTAGCGCATCCTTCATTCAAGTAGTCGGAGAGTGTAATCGGGTTGAAGTCGAACCAGGAAAATATGCTTCGCTCTTTAAAGATAAGGTATTTTTTTCCGAACTGTTGTCAATCATACGTACATAACAATATATATATATATATCAGAATCCATCAGAGACATCTTTATATCATACAAAGATCTTGAGCTATATATATGCATATAACTAAACTAAGTTTGTGTGTTTTTATAGATCCACGGACAGTGACAGCGCCAAACTTGTTATGTCGAGGGGGCTAAAGGTTTCGTTGAGGTAAAAAAATAATTAATTTTTATTATTTTGAGCTGACATTGAGAATAAAACTATATATTTTAATGTATGTAATCAATATAAAAATATTAATTTGTAAAGAATTGATTGAATTTAAACGCACAAACGATCTATATAACCAACAATATAATCGACATAACGATGGAGATGACGGCTTAGGAGAATCGAGACCCCGAAGCCCCTATGTGGCTCCGTCACTGCCCACACGGATAATATATGTCAAATACCATCATACCTAAATGCAAGCAAATGAATCATTAACCATGTATGTGGACAATTTTTTATGAAAGATGATACCATATGAATTTTTTGAGCAAAAAATGTGTTGTATTTCTAAAATGAATGTACACTACTAATATAAGTACAAGATAAGCTTAGGCCGGGGAAAGATACCAAATTCCCAAAATATGACACATACCATATCGAAAAAGATACCAAAACTTTGGTTAGGAATGATACTATACCGACCCTTTTGGTAACGGCATATATTTTGATATTTACAATATACGTTGAAATACAAAAAAAAAAAATTTAATATATCAAAATATGTTCACAAGTTTGATATTTTGGTATTCGATGTATCGATATATTGATACCAAACTTATTATTTTTAGTTTCAATAGTTCAGTATGAAACGGTATATATATACCAATACCGTATAAAAATTTCAGTGTATCAAATCATTGATACGATACCATATATATCAGTTATATCAATTTTTTTGTACGGTATCAATAGGGTAAATATCATACCGAAAGTTCTGTACCGTATACGAAATGCAGCATGATCGAAATTCAATATACCGTACCGAATCACCCTCCTAGATAAGTCGGATAAACACTACTTGGGACCAGCTAATAACAATACAAAATAATACAATTATAAATAAATACAGCTAACAATATATACATATATATATATATATATATCTTAGGTACCTTTAGTGGCTCCAATTCTTTGTCGAGAACTTCAGTATGTTCTTGAGCAGTGGCTGAGTAGGTGCAAAAGAAGAAAAAGAAGAAGAAAAAGAGGGACTTCATTACAACTTAATTAGGGATATGTATATATATGATTATCCATTCGCATCATGGGGGCCTTTTATAGATTGATGTGAGTTTGTAAAGACATCAAGGGTGTGCTTGTTCAAGGGATTTTGTTCAAAATTCATTATTCATTCAAAATTTTCCCTCAAAAAATATCATATCAAACACTTATTTTTCTTTTTTTATATTATTTTAAAAATCAATTTTACATTCAAAACATAGCATCAACGCTATTTATATCCTATCACAATTTAAAAATTTTTACTATTCAAATCTCAACTCAAAATCGAACCTCCAAACAAACACACACTAAATCAAACACCCGAAACCCTAAACCCGTAAGGGATGGCCTGATGGTGTAGGGGTTGGACTTGACTACAAAAAAATAGTATATTTGTAACGGAATTCTGTTACTAAAGTTCACGTAGCTAACGTAATTCCATCTCAAATTCCGTCTCTAATATCATTAGTAACGGAAAAAGTGGATTTAACAACGAAAAAATCTTGTTACAAAATTGATATTTTTTTTTTGTAGTATTTGTGACTGTGAGGTCATGAGTTCAAATTCCCGACGCATCAGGTCTCACATGATTCGTGACTTTTCCGTCAGCCTGATTTGTAAGGTATTACGTTCCAAAAAAAAAAAGGCATTAAAATTGAATTAAATTAAATAGGTGTGTTGTGCACGTTTGGGATTTTCTACTGTTCCCCTGCTCTAGGGAGGGAGGTTGGCGCGAAGCAATCCCTACAAGGACAAAGTCTGGCAGGCTAAAGCTAAGTTTATTTATTATATATATATATATATATGTATTTATTTATTTATTTATATTTTGTGATGTTTAACCTTCCTTCTCGGCAATGAGGCGATCGTAGCGGACGAAGATCTCACCATTAGGGTTTCTGGAGGCAAAGGTGACTTAGAGATTGGCGGTGACAGAATCGCCGGCGGTGAGATTGAGGTAAAAAAACGGCAACGATTTAGAGGCGGAAATATGGATTGGATCACTATCACAAAAATGACTCCAAAGATTGTGTCGGAAAAAAAGGAAAAACTTCGAGACAATCCTGTGTCACAGAATTTTTCTTTAAAATAAATTAGTATCTCAATCATGATCAGAGGCTTCACTTAGATAGTTTGTCTCGAAATCTAAAAAATTATTTCATGACAATGTATTATTGCATATTTTTTTTAAAAGTACAAAAAATTGTCATGAAATAAGTTACAAATATATTCCAAGAGTTAAACTTTCTCGAAATAAATTGCAAAAAAGTATTCCGTGAATATGGACTATTAGAAATTATCTAAGAATGGTCTCAAAATAAGTCAGAAAAAATACTCCAACAAGAGTATGAATTGTCTCGAAGTGTGTTACACATTATGTTTTGAAAATTGAATATCTCAAAACAAGTCACAAAAATATTCCGAAAGTATGGATTATCTCGAAATGAGTTATAAAAATAATCCGAAAATATGTTATCTCAAACCGAGTCACAGATATATTCCGATGGTAGAAATTGTCTCAAAATAAGCTATGAAAAATATTCTGATAGTTTGAATTGTCTCGAAAGAAGTCATAAAAAATACTCGACAGTATAAATTGTCTCGAACCAAGTCATGAAAAATACTCGAAAAGTATAAATTGTCTCGAACCAAGTCACACACTATGTTTTGATAATTGAATTAGTCTTAAAATAAGTTGCAAAAAAAATTCTAATAGTATGGATGGTCTCGAAAAGTCACAAAATATATTTCGAAGAAATAAATTGTTTTGAAATAAGTTACATAAAATATTCCGAGAATTTGAATTATCTCAAAATAAATCACCAAAAATAGAAATTGTCTCGTAACAGTAAGTTATCTCGAAATAAAGTCTTAGAAAATATTCTGAGAGTTTGAATTGTCTCGAAATAAGTCGCATGAAAAATACTCCAAGAGTATAAATTGTCTCGAACCAAATCACACACTATGTTTTGATAATTGAGTTTGCCTCAAAATAAGAGTATGAATTGTCTAAAAATCAGTCACGAAATATATTCCGAAAATATAAATTATTTCGAAATAAGTTACATAAAATATTCCGAAAATTTAAATTATATAAAAAAAACACCAAAAATATTATTTGTCTCAAAACGAGTCATTAAATATATTTTAAAAATAAAAATGATCTTGAAATAAAGTTTAGAAAATATTCTGATAGTTTGAATTATATCGAAACAAATTGCAAAAAATATTCAGAAGATATGATTTGTCTTGAAACGAATCACAAAAATAATCCGCATGCGGGTATACGATGTCTCAAAGTGAGTCACAAGAAGTATGTTGCGAGGGTAACTATTTTGAGAATTTGTATTTTCTCAAATAAATTATAGAAAACATGTCAAAAAGTATAAATTGTCTGAGTCACCAAAAAAATAGCATTTAGGGCGGAATATCCATATTTGAATTTGTTGTTAAAATTCATATTAATATTAATAAAATATTATTTTGACATGGAATAGAGCAACTTACTATTTATTTATATATATTATATTTATATATAATTTAAAACTAAAAATTAATTACAATCTATTTTATTAACCAAAATAATAATGCTTATAAAATTTATATTATTTATATATAAACTTAATTTAATAAATAAAATCGAATTAAAGAATGAATATCAAAATTTATATTATGTATATATCAAAGTTAAATTAAAATATAGTCAATTAGTTTTATTAACGATATATTATAAGAAATAATAAATATAATTAATTATTTTTTAATTGAATCTATACATCTATAATAAAAAATTAAATCAAAATATAATAAAAACACAAATAAATATGTATAAAAGTATATGGCTTTGTTCTTTTTATCTTTTTTTTTTCCACACATTTTTTTAAAAAAATTAATACACTACACATATTCATTATTTTTATATTCTTTACACATTTGTCTATACCTCACATAAAAAATATATATATATATATTTCCAATAATCTCACAGAATAAACACACTCAAAATATAATAATAAAAACTTGTAAGATTTTGGTTTTGTCTTTTGATTTTCAATAGTAAAATTTTGAATTGAAATAGTTGCTTGACGTGATATAAATATATATTGATGTGATGTTTTAAATGTAAAATTTAATTTTAGTGTAATATAATAAATAATATAAAAATGATTGAATTGATATTTTTTAAGAAAAAAAATTTGAATAGTAAAATCGAAAATCAAATCTCACAAATAAACACTAATTTTGAACCAAAAATTTCCACTAATTTATTTTAATTTTATAGTCACCCTCTAGTTCCTATCCACATTCATATTTACTTACCTACTTATTTCTTTTATCTGCAATAGCTATAGGTTTTTCTTTTATTATTATTATTATTATATGGCCGCAAATCTTCTAAGAATAAGATATGCGCTTCCAAATTGAATTTTATAATTTGTTTAGGTGGGTGCTATTATTATCAATATCTATTTAACTTGTTCAATTAGCTTGGTTAATTAGTTAGATATTTATATTTCTCTTATTTGGATATGAATGTGTACA